TGTTGTCAGTATATAGAAATGCTGAGTTTTGTATATTTATTTTATCTTCTGCAAACTTACTGAATTATTAATTTTTTGGTAGAAGTTTTAGGGATATATATATATATTTTTTTTTCTTTTAATGATCATGCCACCACCCCCAATGGGCAGCAGGGGTAGGAGAGACAGAAAGAGAGAGAGGGATAGAGAGAGAGAACTGTTCTTTCTTAATTTGGATGTGTTTAATTAGTCTTTTTCTTGCCTAATTTCTTTGACTCCAGCTTTTATGCTATATTGAATAGAAGTGGCAAGGGTGGGTATGCTAGTCTTGTTCCCAGTTTTAGAGGAAAMGTTTTCAGCTTTTTACAACTGAATATTTTGTTATTTGTGGGTGTGATGTAAGGTTAATATGTTGAGGTAGGCTTCTTATTTGTTGAGTTTTCATCATGAAAGAACATTGAATTTTGTCAAATGCTTTTCATCTACTGAGATGATCATAAGATGGTCATCCTTCATTTTGTTAATGTAGAGCATCATACTTATCTATATGTGTTAGCTTATTTTTCCATCCTAATGCTAAATCCCACTTCATCTTGGCATATAATCCTTTCAAATAACTACCAAATTCAATTTACTACTGTTTTATTATTTTTGCATCTATTTTCATCAGGGGCATTGACTTGTAGTTTCCTTTTTTGTGATGACCTTGTCTGGCTTTGTTATAGAAGTAATGCTGACCTTGTAAAATGGGTTTGGACATGCTCCCTCTTCCATTTTTTGAAGAAATTTAAAAGGGTTAGTATTACTTATTAAAGCTTGATAGTGTTCACCATTGAAGCCATCAGGTGCCCAGGGTTTTCTTTGTTAAAAGGCATTTTATTACCAAGTCCAGTCTCTTATTATTGGCCTGCTCATAACCTGTATTTCTTCATGTTCAGTCTCATAAGTTGTATATTTCTAGGAACTCACTCATTTCTTCTAGATTATTCAATTTGTTGATGTATACTTGTTTATAGGAGTTTCTTATGATCATTTATATTTCTGTGGAATCAGTGGTAATCATGTAATATCYCTTTAGTTTACAATTTTGAGGCTTCTTTTCCTTTTTTCACATATTTGTGAAAATTTCTATTACATACTCATTGATACCTAGTTTCACATCAGTGTGGTAAGAAAATACTTGATTTCAATCATCTTCAATTTGCTAAATCTTTTTTTTTTTTTTTGGTAACCTAATATGATCTATCCTGTGTGTTTGAGACGAATGTATATTTTTATGGCTATTGGATGGAATGTCCTGTATTTCTGTTAGGTTAACTTGGTCTATACTGTTGTCCAAGACCACTGTTCTTTTTTKATTTTCCATCTGGATTATCTATTTTTTAAAGTGGGGTAGTGAAGTTCCTTATCATTATTGTATTGATCTCTATTCCTCTCTTTAGTTCTGTTGATATTTACTTTACATATTTACAACCATCGTACACTCTTAAAGAATTGATTCCTATTATTATGTAATGACCTCCTTTGCCTCAGATTTGTTTATTTTGTCAAAGTATAATAATCCTTTATGTCTTTTGGTTACCATTTGTATAGAGTATCTTTTTTCCTCACTTSGCTTTCAACCCACATTTATACTTAAAACTAAAATATGTCTCTGGTGGGCAGAATATAGTTGAACCTTGATTTTTATTCATTAATCACTGCATGTTTTTTGTTTGGACAATTTAATTCACTTGCACTCAAGATTATTACGGATAGGCAAAGAGTCACTACTATCATTTTGTTAATTATTTTCTGGTTGATTTGTAGATCTTTTATTCTTTGTTCATTTCTTACTTTTTTCTTCTCAAGCTGATAGCCTTATGGAGAATTCCTTTTTATGTGATGTTACTTTTCTTTTGCTGCTTTCAGAATTCACTGAGAATTTGATTATAAAGTATCTGTGTATTTAATCTATTTGTAGTTCTTAATTTAAGAAGTTTAATGTCATTATTTCTTTAAATAAACTTTCTGCCCTTTTTCTTTCTCTGCTCCTTCTGAGACTCCCATAATTTGCATATTAGTTCACTTGACAGTATCCCATAAGTACTATTTCCTCACTCTTACATCTCTAACTGGGTAAATTTGAATGACCTGTCTTTGAGTTTACTGATTCTTTCTTCTGTTTGATCAAGTTTGCTCTTGAAGATTTCTTGGAATTTTGTAGGTTTGTTTCAATATTCCAAAATGTTCAGTAGCTCTAGAATTTGAAAACACACACACACACACACACACACACACACACACACACACACACATTTTTGTTTTCCTATCTGTGTTAGCTTTTCATTACTGGGACAAAATATTAATCTACTGATAAGGTCAGAGCTCTAATGTCACAAAATACAAGACTCACAATTGATAAAACAGACTTGTTAAAGAGTTATCAGGAATTTGCTGAGATATAGGTAGATCTGAAAATCCCAGTTTATTATTAACATGGCTCTACAGAGCCCCAGTTAAGAACCTCAGATTTAGGCCCAATACTCTCAAAGGAGGAATCCCAATCTAGTATTAGTGATAGGAGGCCATCATCTACTTTCAGTATGAAGAAAATTATGATGCATAAATATGCTTGAAATTGGTCATGAAATACATGCTATCCATAAATATGTACAAACAAGGTATAAGCTATAATCTTTGATCAATTGAAGTAAAAACCCATACCAAAATTAATAAATATTGTACATATATATTGTGGCTAAATTTTAAATTATGTTGAAAAATTTTTAATACAAAAAATATTTTCACCTAGAAAGTATTCTCTTCTCTTTGTTGCCTTACCAGGTTTTAGAAAAAATAATTTTTAAAAATATATTTTGCAAATCAGCTTAAAAGATCTAAAATTGTTGTATTTTGCTTAAAATCTGTTAGAAATTATTAATCCACTATTGAGCAAATAGACCAAAAAGAGAAAAGAACATTTTCAGATTTGAAGCTTTTAGTGAACTATAATTAGTGAAACCAAAGCTGACAAACAGAAACATACCCTTTCAAACCCAAGGAAAGAACTGAACTAATTAAATGATACCTCAAGCAATGTATAAATTATTTTGAAATTCTATGGTGGATTAAACTGTGCCCACTCCCCAAAAGATGTACATAGGACCTTATTTGAAGATAAGGTGTTTATGTATGTAATTAAGGTTTAAGATAACATCAAACTGGAATACAGTGGGGCCCTTATTCCAAAACAACTGCTGTTCTTTCAAGAAAAGAGACAAACACACACAGAATACCCTGTAAAAACTCAGAGAGAACACAGTGACGTAACTACAGAGGCAAAGATTAAATTATGCACCAAGTACTAAAGAATACTAAGGACTACTGGCAACAACCAGAAGCTAGGAGAGAGAACACTGCCCTGAAGATAACTAGATTCCAGACTTCTGGCTTCCAAAATGTGTGAGGATAGAATTCTATTGTTTTAAGTCACCTACTTTGTGGTACCTTGCTACAACAGCCTTACTAAATGAACACCCTTACACAGTACCTGCCCTCCCTGCCACCTCCCAAGAAAGGCAGACTTCTCATACTTACTTTTCTCCCCCTTGCTGAGCTAGCTTCTAAATGGGGCTTCATAGGAAAAATAGCAGAAGGGGTGGAAGGGAGTATTGAGGCAGTACTATGCAGTAAAAATTGTTCACCTAAAGCCAGATAGTGTCCACCACTAGCAGCCCTATTATCGGGCAAGTCTTGTAACTGCTTTCAAAGGCAGGCTATTCCCCTATCTGTATAACGAGAATACTTTCTGTGACCTTACCTAAAAGGATTTGGCTAAGAACTGACTGACTTGTTTGCAAAAATGGCTCTTTCTCCTAGTTTCTATTTAATAATACAGTCTATTCAAATAACCTGGAACAATATAAAAACAAAGTCATCAGCACTTAGCATTATTTCTATGCACTTATWTACCTGTACTTCCAGAAAATAAATGTAACCATTTTAATCTATGGACTACAACTCAATATAGTGTTTAATAACCACAGCAAAGTAATAAACAAGAAAAATAATCACTTTTTGTAAATCAATAAATCCCACCACAAAATAGTAAAATATCAGCAAAATTTTAGCCAAATCAATAGTTTGATTTATACAATTGACAAGTCTTATACCCTTTTTTCAATCTTCTTTTTAATCAGAATTTGAATAAGAGTTTCAGTAAACTGTTTATTTTAAAGATAAAAAGCCTAACAAAATCATTAGGAAATTAAAAGTTCTCAGCAGTTTCTAACATATATGTTAATCACTTTCTGTTTTATGGCATAACTTACACATTTTGATTTTGAATTAATAATACCCAAGGGAACCAGAGAAAAGTTACATTTGGAATAAAACAAATCACTAGTACAAGGGAGCCTTTTGAGGTGTTTTAAAAGTCAATAAGTGTCAATAAACTTTAAGTTTATGAATGGTTTAAAAACATTTCATTTCATATCCTAAATACTCATACCTTGAAATTATTTCACTAAAAATCATACATTTGAAAGTTAACAGAAGAGAAGCCAAGTTTTTATTATGCATGATTATTTTTTATATTCAATTTTATAACATGTTCACTCGGACCCTAACATGTAAATTAGAACATTGTAACAACCTAAACAAATGTGTGCTTTTTATGAACTTATTTTACCCAGGAAGAATCTTAGATGCTAATCTTTGTGCTGTGAGAACTCCTGGTTCATATGCTGAAATTTAGAGACATATTCTCAGAATAACTGTTTTAAATGTTTAAGATAGAATATGTAAGATCACAAAGAAAACCAGGTTTTTTGATATATTGTAATCAAATTATTTCTTTTTTAAAAATGAAGCATTAAATAACAGGATCTAAGGGCAGATCTTTTAACTACCATAATATCAAAGAAATGATTAATATATAAATATAGATGTTTATAGGTATCTGCATCCACTCTATTTTTTAAATATTTTTTTAGTTGTAGATGGACACACAACATCTTTACTTTTATGTGGTGCTGAGGATGAACCCAGTGCCTCACACAGGCAAGACAAGCACTTAACCACTGAGCTACAGTCCCAGCCCCTCTGCATTCACTCTGTATTAATATATTTGTGCTTTTTATTGGTTATATTACAAGCACCAACAGTATTGTGATTTGCTGCTAATATTTACAATGGAAAAAATGCTGGATTTATTAGATGTTAGTGACCTCCCAATCTGTTAACTCAGGAYAGCAGTAGTGCCCATTTCCATCAGTTGTTTTAAGAATTTAAAAATATACTGTATGTGAAAAATCTCTGCAAAATGCACAAAGCCTCCTTGTATATTAATAAAAATTTATTTCTCAACAATAAAACTGGATTTCTTAAAGGCAAGATGACATTCATTGTGAAGTTATAAAGAGAAAAATGAAAAAGGGTGAACATCTCTGTTTTAAATCATATAAATGCCCTCACTTTAGAATTACAAATCTTTAGAATTACAAAACTTTTGGTTCAAAACACAGGTTTTAATGAGTGTAATCAYAGATCATTAAGTGAAGAAACCTGGCTGGTATGATGTTGACAAATAAATGACCTGAATCTTAAAGTAAATTATTTCATTTTTCAAGAACTAAACATTAAYAGCAATATGACCAGGTTAAGAAGTTGACAAATGATTCAATGTAATATCGTGCACACATTGAAATGTTAAAAAAAAAAAAACTAACARCACACAAAAAAAGCTCTTGATGTAATGTTAGCAGTCATAAGCCTTCTTGGATATATTCAGCTGTAAGATCTTCTTTGGCACTACTATTATGTTAGTTTGGACTATGATTCATTCTGACTACAAAGATTTCTATTTTCTTGGATTCAATTTGCAATTTTTAATAGAAAATATCATTAGTTACAAATTGTTCTTTCAGTTTATCCCACTTTACAGTTCAAATTTCATCTAAGCTATTCCTACTCTGTCAACAATTTCATCATCTCTAAGCCAAGCTATTTTCAGAACTTATACAGCTGTGAAAGATAATCTAGTGCTTTAGTTTACTTGGGTTTTTTTACTCCCCTGCTGCTGTTTTTATTATCCAATCAAGGGTATTAACAAGAAAATATAACATAACTTCAAAGCATTTCAAAAACAAAGATTCCGGTCATTTAAGATAATGCGAAATTATAACTAAGACCATGACTAACAAGATCTAAGATTAACATCAGTCCCTTTTTTTTTTCCTCTACTGACCCATTTTAATCAAAAACTTGGTTTTGGAAATACACACTATCTCTGAACAGCTGGACACAGATGCAATGATTAAACTAAAGCATGAGATACCAAATGGTAAAACATTTAATTTCTAAATTTATGACACAAGAACTGCTTAGAAATCAAAATTATACACAGATGGCTATTATATCATACTTTCACTAGAATAAAATAATGCAGTAAGATAGGAAAAACCACACTACATTTGTCAACAAAACAGAATATGATTTTGAGAAACTGTCACTGGACTGCCTTTAAGATTAACTCTACAATGATTAAAATCAATCTATAGAAAATAAACTTTTATAATGGCCTAACTACAGTCTGGGTCCTTCAAAAGAGTACAATGGGTCTTTAAATCAAATGATAACTCTACTGCAGAGACAGAAATACTGAGTAAATACTAAAGGAAAGTGAAGAAAAATAAACAGTGTTACTGCTAAAAATTGTCTTTGTTAAATGATTAAACACATCTACCCACTCAAAAAGACATGAATACCTAAATAACATAGCATGTTTACTAGCTCCAAAAATGTATGTGTGTGTTTGTGTGTGTGTGTGTGTGTGTGTATGTATATATATATTTTTTTAATGTTGGCCTAGGTGTAAAAATTATAGCCATTGGCAGTGAGACATACAGAAAGGTGAGGCCTTAATAAAAAGCTGTAGGGCTGGTACACAAAAGTTTATAGATGCTAAAAGAAATAAGAGTATTTGTAAGGAGGGAAAAAAAGACAATCTTTCAAAATAATGATTGGAGAAATCACTAAGCAGCAAGATAAACATGAAACAAACACATGGGATTTTCATTTAGTTACTGAAAATGAGCAGTTCATGTACAGTGATCTAAAACAGGATTTGGAGAAGTTCCTATGTTGTAGGATACCTGTAAATCTGCTTTGATCCTGGCATTAATATACACTGTCTACCCACATGGGATAGGCTGYTGCCAGGCTCCCTCCCTCCACTGAAAAGCCCTAACCCAAAATTCACATGATATTTACAACCCAGGATACTTCAAATTTATTAACTCCTTATTAAGCACAGCATGTGTAGGTAATTTCAAGAAATAAGAAACTACAATAAACAAAAGGGTTTATTTATTTGATAATAATTAATTTTCCCCAATTAATAATATCTAACATTTCATTCATAAATGGGGGAAAATCTCATTGCAAATTTTACAGAGAAAACCACTGAAAATGTTAAATAATACCTCAAGAATTTGAATTTTCCAAATTCCATCAAATATTATTTCTTGAAATTCTTATTTAAAAATTTCTCCATTTAAAATGTATTTAATATATCCCATTATTATAAGTGTCACAAATTATAGTCACAAATATAAAAAAATAATTAAAAATATTTTTCATTTCAGGCTTTAGAACACTCAGAAACTGGTGACAGATCTGTTCATTTAAAACAGTCAATATYACTAGGGAAAGAGTTATCAAACTGAAAGATAATTTTCAGTCAAAATAATGCTAAGCTCCAAATTTCTATCAATAGGAATAATATTAAATACAAGTGACATTCACTATGCAGAACTAGATAACTAATGTGTCACTATACATTTTTTAAAAGATGACTGAGGATAGGGACAAGTGGGGAGGCAGACAGTGGCGACCTCTGGAGGATGGAATCTCTTCTCTCTGCTGGTCCTAGAAGAGAAAAGAGACACCAATAAGCATCAACACACTGTCCAAAGTCCTCCCCACCCGAGATCCACCAGTCCACAGGTGTTTCTCAACCTTACAGCCAACCTCACCTTCAAATATGGTAATCAGTGCCAACAGAATGTCAAAAATATTACCTATCTTAATTTGATTACTTCTGTCTTTAAAAATATTATTTACTTTTATATAATTATAATCTGCATGAAATGGTGCAGAAAGCAGCAAGACTGAAAGTAATACCTCTTAACATTTATATGAATAATAGCTTTCCAAAACCATTCCACTCAATTATTTTAAATTATAAGGAGGCTTTCAAATAAGATCTAAATTCTCCGTAAGTGTATATGTGCTATTGCATATGAAACTCGTAGCTACTACCAAATATTTTGGTTATATATTGTTTGTCACCTATTCAATGGTCACAGGTAACGGAAAGGAGATGGAAGTGCYTACATCAACCTGACAACGAGAAATTAATCAACTTGTACAATTCGAAAAAGGTTATTATACTCTGGAAAGAAGGTTTAAAACAATGGAAATTCAAAGAATGATGATCTAACTAAATAATTTAGACTGGCAATATTAAATAACCCCCACAGTTCTGTAATACAAATAGCAAATAGAATTCTACAGAATTTTATTTTTCTAGGAAGTACAGCTGACTGGTAATTCCAAATCACAAATTYTTAGACACCATTTACACTTTACACAACCAGTTCTCTGAATCACTGTTATTTTCTCACATATCACTGTGGAAGGCCTAGTTACTAGAAACCATGTCCAAAGTAAACTCTATAGTAAACTTAATTCAGTCACTCAAGACTAAGACCCAAATGTATACACTGGGGAATGAATTAATTTAAGTTAAATAAACAGCATCTATGATTACATACTATTACTCTTTCCAAGTAGCATACCAGGCACTAGAAATACTAAAGTACAGGACAATGTGTGGTCATGTAAAACAGCAGAGAAAATGCCTTTTTGGAAGCCCTGGCTCTGAGTGAATGCAATTTTAGCTTAAGTTGTGTTTTCTAACTAAAGTAAGTAAAGTAGGTGAACTGTTTCTGGGTTCCACTGTGCATCTACATTGTACTAGCCGCAACCAAGTCCACAGGGATGTAATAAATCTAAAACTGAACGTTTGAGAGAAGTTTGGGAAGCGCCAGAGAATCAGGTTGAACGTCTGGTTTTGTGAAACCATTAAGAATTTTAGATCTGGATAAGAGCTCAGCAAAGAAAGGAATTCACACAACCAGTCCTCTGAATCACAGTTATTTTCTCACATATCATTGTGAGAAATTCTGGACAACTAAATTCTGGACAATTCCTCCGGAAACACAACAGTAACCAAAACAGAAACAACTGTTTGACCAAGCAGACAGGCTTTTATGGCACCTTTCCTGGGAACTTCAAATGTCTTCATAAGTCACTCAACTGCACTTGCTGCAAAGATGTAACGTGCTGGGGCGGCAGCACAGGGCGGAGTGCGTCCCAGTGGCCGAGACCAGGMAAAGGCCACCTTCCCGCAAGGCCACGCACACCCGCGAAGGCTGGCCTCGCCCCTAGCGCGCCTGGCGCGACTCCCAATCGGCTCTGGCCCGCGCGCCGCTCTCGCGCTGAGGGCGCCAGTCACCGCATCCCACGGCCAGCGGCTCAGCGGCCCGCGCCCGCAGCGCCCGTACCTCACGCCGCTGCTCCGAAAGCCAGCGGACGYGCGCCCGGCCGTTCCCGGGGACACCACGGGGGGTGCAGCGCTCCCGCYCAGCGCCGGCCCTCGGCCCAGGAGACCACGGAGGAGCGAGGAACCACGGGCCAGTACTGTCATGGCCGCAACACCGGCTTCCCACCCCGGGTTCCACCTTCCGCAGCTGGAATCCTCACCGCCAGAAGCCGGCTCTGCCCCCACCCGGCCTGGCGGAGCAAGCGCGTGGGCCAGCTGCCGGGTTCTGGGTCGCTGTGCTGGGCGGGGCCAGGAGCAGAGCTCCGGGTGGGGTTGGTCCAAGAGGAGCCAGGTCCTCAGGGGCGGGGCCAGGAGACGGACCCCTGGGAAGAAGGAGCCGAGAGGAGCCGGGTCCTCAGGGGCGGGGCCAGGAGGTGAATACTGGGCGAGCGGAGGGTATTGCAGGTTCCGGAGAACTGGAGACCTTGCAGGCTGGCAGTGTGGCCTGGCGGCTGGTGTCTGCACCCACCCACATTCTGCTGACCTTCCCTTAGTGAGGRCTGAGTGAAGACATCCGAACCAATAACTTCAGGCAGCCCCCCTTTTCCCTAAGCCATACTCCCGCCCCGTCCCCAGGGTTAGGTGGAATTTGACTTGAAGCTGTAAAGTAATAGGGTCTTTGTTTTCCAATGCCTTTAGGTGACCTTGGGATACCTAGAAGAAAGAAGTCTAAGGAGATGAAGATTTGAATGTGTGGAGAAGGAGAACCTCTTCCAGCAAGTTCCTTATAAAATGTTTAATATGTGTGTGTGATATATATATATATATATATATATATCACACACACACATATATATCAGACTATTGATTCGTTGTTCCAATTAAGACAATAAGAGTCATAAGTAAAACCATCTGCAAAGTCAACAGGAAATATTTCTCCCTGGGGCTGGCTGCAGCTGTGAAGAGTCATAACAGTCTCTTTTCAGAACTGCTTTTTGACTGAAAAAATTTGTTTTCAAAAGTTACAGACTGTCAGAAAATTGTTCTTTAAAAAGTATATCACTAAGAATGAGCATCTAGTCTTGCTGATATGTCAATTGGACACAAAGAAACAACCTAGAAGAAAACAAAAAATGTTAACAACTAGATTTTAGATCTAAATCAGAACATATTTTTTAAATCCATTAAATCAAAAAATCACACACACACACACACACACACACACACACAAATAATTTTAAACTGCTGCTGTGCAAAAAGGCACTGTTAGGAGAAAATATTTGTGAAACTTTCTGATAAAGAAAGTGACCCGTGCCATGGCACACGTCTGTAATCCCAGCAGCTGGGGAAGCTGAGGCAGGAGGATCATGAGTTCAATGCCAGCCTCCACTGATGCTAAGCAACTCAGTGAGACCCTGTCTCTAAATAAAAATACAAAATAGGGCTGGGGATTTGGCTCAGTCAGTGGTTGAGTGCCCCAAATTCAATCCCTGGTTCCAAAAAGAAAAGAAAAAGAAAGAAAGAAAAGAAAAAGAAATGTTTTAAACCCCCCCCCAAAAAAAAAAAAACTTTTGAAACTTAATAACAAAAATTAAACAAGCCAGCTAAAAAGCTAAAAATTTGCAGAATATCTGAACAGATAACCTACCAAGCACAAACAAGATACATAGATGAAAAAGAAAGCACATAAAAGAAAAATATTTAATATCATTTGCATTAAGGACATGCAAATAAAATAACCATAAAATGCCACTACATTCCTGGTAAAATAGCTAAAGTCCAAAAGCTGACAAAGATATGGAGCAACAGGAACTATCATTCATTGTTGACTGGAATAAAAATGATTTAATTGCTGGGTGGTGTATGCACACCTGAAATCCCAGCGACTGGGGAGGCTGAGGCAGGAGGATCACAAGTTCAAAGCCAGCCTCAGCAAGTGAGGTGCTAAGCAACTCAGTGAGACCCTGTCTCTAAATATAATACAAAATAGGGCTGGGAATGTGGCTCAGTGGTTGCGTGACCCTGAATTCAATCTCCTGTACAAAAAAAAAAAAAAAAAAATCAATCATTGTTAGTCAGCTGTCACTGTGACAAGAGATAATTAACTTAAAAAGAGGAAAGGTTTATTTTTGCTCACAATTTCAGAGGTTCCAGTCCATGATCAATCGGCCCTGTTGCTGAGGGTCTGTAAGAGCACATCGCATCATGGCAGGAGTATGTAGCAGAGGACACTAATTCACTTGATAGCAGTCAGGTGGGGTCTCCAATATTCTATTCAAGGGTATACCCCCAGTGACCTAACTTCCTTCCACTCATCCCCACCTTCTAAAAATTGCACCATCTCCCAACTGATCCATAGGCTGGAGACTAGGGCTTTATCACATGGGCCTTTAGGAGACATTTAAAGATCCAAACTATAGTAAGTCACTTTAGAAGATTGCTTGGAAAACTAACAAAACTTCTTTCAAAGCTAAAAATAGTTTAACTGTATTAAACAGTGCTAAACTATGAGCAGTCATGTTTCTAGCTATTTACACAACTGATTTGAAATTTATATCATCACAGAAACCTCCACATGAATGTTGATASCACTTTCATTCACACTCTCTAAAAACTAAGATGTTCTTCAATAGGTGATGAATAAACAAATTATCATATAACCACACAATGGTATATTGTTTATCCATCAAGCCATAAGATGATGAAGATGAACTTTAAATGAATATTGGTAAGCGAAAGAAACCAGTCTGAAATAATTACATAATATATGATTTCAATTCTTTGACATTCCATAAAAGGCAAAACTATAGAGACAGTAAAAAGATTAGTGGTTGCCACAGRTTCAGAAAAAGAGAAGCTTTAATAGGTGAACCACAGTGGAATTTTAGGACAGGGAGACCATAAATATTTAGAACTTTATAGCACAAAGAGTGAAACTTGTAGGTGAATTACAAAAAAATCATTTAGGAGATTGGTGTTTTCCAAAAAGGAATGCAGACTGTGACAAGATAATCTAACTGCATTACAAATGTAATGTATGCTCACTGAAAGGGGTGAGGAAATCTTCTTACCTAAGTAACTCTGGAACTGAATTGAATCCTTAAAACTAATGGCAAAAGAAACAGCATATAAACATTATACAACATTTAATGAAGTTGGAAATATAAGTTAACAATTCTGAAATGATATGCATATACACTGGAATAGTTAAATAAATAAATGAGGGATGGTGGGAAACAGGTTTCCTGCTTTTGGAGTMAGAATCAACATAAGCAACGGGAGGAGAATAGAATGATCCATATACCAATGGACTAATGTTGGAACATCTTATGAACAGATTTTTGGCATAAAATAGATACATATAGTTACGTACAGAAATATTTATAGATGTGTGAATATTCAGGAGTTAGTATGCATACATATTTCTCTGCTTTGTCAGCTGAGACTGCCTAAAAGAGATAATGCCTAGTAGCAATAAGTAAACCTAGGACCCAGATCTTGACTTTAACAATAAAGGAACCAGGAGTCCTTGGAGAAAAGGCTGATTCTAGGACTTGATCAGAAAATATATAAGACAAGTCTAGCTTTAATTCTTGCTCAAAGAATTCCATTTTAATGGGGCTATGCCAAAGACAATGAGCTAAATGGGCTCTTTGATGCCAAAGCTGGAATAATTTGAACAGCAAAATAAAATAGTATGGGGTTACAACTCAATGTAAAATACTAACAATCATGATAGCATACTTATATAAATACATAATTAGATAAATAAATGAATGGAAGAGAAGAGAAAATCATGTGCAGATTCTAAAAATTTATGTAGATACTATACCCTCAAAGAGGAAGAGAAAAGCTCTTCACTCCTTAAGTGGGAATTGATCATAGTGACTTCCTTTCAAAATCTATAGTTTGCAAAGAAGAAAAGAGAGTGATTTAGTAGAAAAACCTGACAAAAACTTGTTCAGCCATGTTATTAATTAACATCAAGTGATAGACTATGTTGATTGTATGGATACTTGATAAAATGAGATCAAAATTATACTTTACCTCTGTAGTATTTTTCCAGAACTCATAATTCCAGTATAATGAGAAAGAATTTTAAGTCATCCCAATAGAGGGATATCCTAAATATAGCTGAGCAGTACTTGTTAAAATTGTCAAGGTCATCAAAAACAAGGGAAGTCTGGAAAACTGTCACAGCCAAGTGGAACCTTAAGAAGACATGACCAAATGTAATGAGGTAACCTGAATTAGGTCCTGGAACAGAAAAATGACTTTACATAAAAGCTAAGAAAAAGTAATGTAATATAATGCATCAGTACTGGTTCTTTAATAATGTGATATTAATAATAGGAGAAACTGGATGCATGGTACATGGGAACTCTTGATACTATCTTCTCAATTGTTCTRGAAATTCATAACTGTTCTAAAAACTAATGTCTTTTTTATTCAGCCAGAGCAGGTATCCATTGGAATCAATACTAGGAGAGGTTCTCTAAAGTCGACTTTATCCAAGTTATATTTATTGCAATTATTGACCCTATCCCCTTCTGGACTAGAAATTTAAGAACTGATGCTGAGACCTTCACAAGAGAACCTTAGAAATCAAGGAGGGTCAAGGGGAATTAAGAAAGACACACAAAAATTTACGGAGAGAAAGCTGGGACCAGGTGAGACAACATCCTCTGGTGGAGGAACAATGACACAGAGCTAGTATAGCACATTTATTATATTACCATCAAAAGGTTTTTCGTGGGAAAGTTTCTGTAAAGCAAAYAAGTTTGAAGGTCACAGCACTTGTGAGTCATTGTGGTTATCTTGTATGTTCAGAATCCTCTATCCCCAGCAGCTGACCTTAAGGTCCAGACTCAGAGTTCTGGGCCTTTGCACAGAACTTCATCAGGCAGGGCATCACCATAGTAACTGGGCAATCTTTTTCTGCATATTTGCTCAGAAAGTTCCCAACACAAGTTCGGCCATAGCTGTGAGGCAGAGACCATGATCTAAGTCACCACTCTTGCACATCTCCCCCTTTTATATTTTTAAAATATAACTGATGCATGTCTACTCTGAAGTGCTTGAACTTGTATCAGATGAGCTTGCAGATGACTGAAAGAAAACAACAATGACTTAAGAGTAAGGAAATAAGTCCTAAGCAATACCATGAAGTATGTTTTAGTATATTCCAAGGATTGAAACCATTCAGATCATCCAACAGCTTTTTTGTAAAACTGGCAGGAGATAACATAGGAATCCAACTTTTCTTGAATAAGTTGGATGTAATGGTGAAGTGGTAAGAGATTTAAACTAACATTGATATGATTCCAAATTCCTAAGAGATACATCTTTATCATTTCCCAATCCCTTTGGGA